ACCTCACGAACTGTATGCAGAGGGCAAAACATCGGCAGAGGCATTCCAAAATTGATCAAGAAAACTTACAAATCCTTCTCGAGAAGTGGAAAACACAGTCCCCCGATGATTTCTTCTTCTTCCGACCATATGAGAAAAAGGAAAATGACGGCCAAACAGACGAGAAAAATGAAAACCTTTTGTTTTGTTACCAAAGCAAAAACCAACAATATCTACTTAACAAATATGGTAACGAAATGTGTCTATTGGATGCCACTTACAGAACTACTCGCTACGCCCTGCCTTTGTTTTTTCTATGTGTGAGGACGAATGTTTCGTATGAAGTAGTCGGGGTCTTCATCAGTCAAAATGAAAACTCTGACAGTATAGCTGAAGCATTACACGTCATCTGCAAGTGGAATCCCGACTGGAACCCCAAATACTTCATGGTCGATTTCGACTCAGCAGAAATATTGGCTCTTGAAGATGTTTTTCCAGGTATGTTTATTAACAAACAGAGTCATCATAGGCTCGTTGGATTTCTTTGTGAACGTACATTGCAGTTCATTAACGCTTTCTTGCTGTCCTTGCCAAGGAAAGACCTGTTCAGTTTTAATCAAATAATCCCTTTTACATCACAGCTATGAAAGTGTTGCACCGAAATTATTACTTCTCGAATCATCAATACTGACAAAGGTCTTAATTTGGACATCAAAACTACCTATAATTCAGCTACACAAGTGTGTCAAGTTATGCACACTAAAACATCTTATTTACAAGGACAATAACATTCAACTTATCTTGCATGTTTGCTTCATTTTGGAACAGGTTATAGATTTCAGGTACAGAAATATAATGCACTTAGACTCAGCTGGTAATGAGTACCAAACATTTGCAAAGAACATCAGGTAAAGACTAGATATACAAGTATGGTGTTCATTATGCCATCTGGGTACACCTCTTAACTGAACAAGAAGGGAAATTTGACTCACTTATTAACAATACGAAATTAATGAAGAATATTACAAGATTTAATACCTACATTATTTAATACCTGCTATTAATCACATTCATTACATTAATTAACTAATTACAACTACTTCTTATATTCATTATTTTTTATCAAATTCATTAATGATTTACAATATAAAAAATGCTTGCAGTGACCACTTCTTTATATGAGCACGGAATTTACCCCGATTTGTATTCAACTTTAACTTCCTTTAAATAACAATGGAATTGATAAGCAATATAAAATATTTGCTGTGGCTCGCTGTTTGCTCATATTTTATATAATACATATGTAATACCTATAGAATTGAAAAAAACTCGTACACAATTAATGACATAAGAGACACAAGTACCATTATTTAATGACACATGTGCCACACTGTTGCCAGCTCATGTTTTAGATATCACATTATCTGTGTAATATCCAACTATTAAGTACTATGTACATGTATCTATCACCACACAGTTATTCCATATTTCAAATACCAAACTTTTATAATAATTTAGGTCTTACCTTGAGATGGAAAAAAGAATTAGAAAAGAAGGTGTTGATGTGGCAACCTTTAAAGATTTAACTCCAAAGGTAAACAGATGCACACTACCCAAATTCAAAAATAAACCATAACACTGTCTCTGAAAAAAAAGAGAGAAGACAATTAGATTGTATTGATAATTATTTTAAAACTGTACAGCTACTGTTATAAAAGATAATGATATTCTTACTGTAGTTCTATACATGATTGTAAAGTGTTATTCATTCATTAAAAATTTCCTTTGCTTTAGGAATTGCCTAAACAAGAAAATGATTTTGATTGTGGCATGTTTGTTTGCATGGTAAGAACTAGCAGAAATAACAACAAATGTATTTGTAACGACCATTGAAAGTTCAAATTTCAAAAAATTTTAAGTTTGCAGAATATTTAAGCAGAAATGAGAAGCCGGCATTTAATCAGGTAACTGTGTGTAGAATATGATTCTTAGATAATAACCAATCAGAATACCATATGACAATGATATTTTTCATTCCAGAATGACATGCCAAGAATAAGAAGAAATTTGAAACTCCATATCCAATCAGGACGCCAGGATTTTCCAGACTTGTGAATCAACCAAAGTTACCCTAACCCTAACAACCTTTTTCGCCAATGTCTGACCTGACTTCCAATATATATTACTAAGTAATCAGTTTCCAATTTCTGATTAAATTCCAAATCCACATCATGTTAGCCTGTCTAGAAAATAAATGTCCTTAATAAATGCCTCCTAAAAGGCAAGATAAATTGAAAAATCTCTTGTTTCTCTTAACTGGGCCTTTCTTTGTTTTTTTACTCCGTGAATAGACCCACTTTTCCCAGCAAGTGATAAAAGTTAAGATCTGTTTGCAGAATAAAAGCTGGGCCCTGTCTAACTGAAAAGATATCTCCTCTAGTGAACTGTAGAAGTACCCCGAGCATAATCTAGTCCTTACTACCTTTTTTTGAAAAATCCCTACAAAATAATATCTAGTCATTGGCCTAAGATGGCGGCTGAGTAGGTGCTCTGTACGACGGCTGGCGTCCCCTAAATTACTAAAGTCTAAAACCAGCATCTCCTATTGATTTTTGTATTATCAAAGAATGAAAAAAGTTTAAAATTAATGAGTAGGAGAAGAAGGGAGGAACTATCGTCAAGCTCAAGCCAGGAATCTTCGAAGATGCAAGCGAAGAATCTATTCCTACACTTAAAATGATCTATGAAATACTAATGAAGGTTCAGAGCAACACAGACATTCTTATGAAAGATAGCAAGCAAGTTAAAGAAGACATTGAACATTTAAAAGCTGTGTGCAAATTTCAATCAACCACGATAGAAGAGCTTAAGAGCGAAAATGCTAAACAGAAGAAGGCGATAAATGATCTGAGGCATAAAATGGAAGAAATTGTAGAAAGTCAAGATAACTACGAACAGTACCAAAGAAAGCATAATTTAATCATTCAAGGAATACCGGAGAGAGATGATGAAGACCTGGAAGAAACCGTGAAAGAATTGGGAGACGCGCTTGATGTAGAAATAGAAGAGAACCACATAGATATCGTTCACAGATTGCCGTCAAAAGTATCACCAAAGCCTGTCATAGTAAAATTCCTAAAMTACTCTGCTAAAAAGGAATTGTATGAAGCAAGACGAAAGCTAARGAACCTGAGTGCGARTAGATTRGACACCACAAATTGTCTTTATGGTGCATCTAAGATATACATCAATGAAAATCTTACAAAACAGAGAGGGATTCTATTCGCCGAAGTGAGAAAAAGAGTCAAGCAATATAACTGGCACTCAACATGGACACTTGACGGGAAGATTTATGTCAAGAAGGCGAGGGATGGCAGGTTTCACAGAGTAAATAACCACGCAGACCTTGAAGAATTATACGAATAACCCACCCAGGACAGATAAGCATAATATTCTTATTCTTCAAGTAATATATTTCTTTACAYTTCATTTTYAGTTTGCACTTCTAACATTTTGAGCTAGCAGCTTATTGCAATTGCAAAAATATTATTTTTGGCTTAAGAAATTACGCATATGCAAATTTACTCCTAGATCCTGTTTTTACATTAGCAATTATCAAGGGGCCAGTCGTGGAGTGTACAGGTGTTATTGTTTTTTTTNCTGTTTTCTTCAAGAAACTCACAGTACTAAAGATATCGAAATAGAATGGAAGAACCGTTTCAAGGGAGATTTTATTTTTTCTCATGGAACATCTCGAAGTAGGGGAGTAGCAATTTTATTAGGCCCAAAGCTGGATTATAAAATAGAAGAGAAAGTTATAGATGATGACGGTAGATTTATTATCCTTAAATGTAGCATTCAGGGTCAAGACTTCTTATTAATTAATTCTTATCTCCCCGATAAAGAGAAAGAACAGGTTACAGTGATAAAGTACTTAGTAGATAGATTAAGTAGGATCGAAACCAACAACAATACATCAATTATATGGGGAGGAGATTTTAATTTAATTATGGACGTGAATTTAGAAGCAATAGGAGGGAACCCAAAATTAAAAATAAGTTCGATAGAGCAATTAAAAGCGGCTCAAGAGAGCTTCGATCTATGTGATTTGTGGCGTATCCGAAATCCGRAGACTAAGCGTTTTACGTGGAGTGGAAAGGCACAGGGACTTGCGTCGAATAGAAAACAGACTCTCTATCGTAGACTAGATTACTTTTTCGTTTCAGATCTTCTACAAACTGTAGTACAGGAAATCAAAATAACGGTTGCTCCGGGAACAGACCACTCTGCGATAATCATGAAACTCAGATCATTACCTGATAATAAACGTGGACCATCCTTTTGGAGGTTAAACACGTCCTYATTGAATGATAATGATTATGTAAAAAGAATGTCARAGGTTATAAAGCAAACAAAATCAGAGTTAAAGGAAGGAGGTATAGATAATCCTCATTCACGGTGGGAACTTTTGAAATACGAAATAAGGAAAACATCTATTGCTTTTTCAAAAGAAAAAGCAAGAAGAAGGAGAGACATATCCAAAGAACTAGAAAATAAACTAGAAGAGATAGAAAAACAAGAAAACTGGCTTTTAGATGAATCGTTAGTCAATTCCTATGAAGCGTACAAAAGTAAATTAAATGAACATAATAATTACATAACAGAAGGCTTAATTATCAGAGCAAAAGCACAGTGGCTAGAACAAGGGGAAAAGAGCACTAAGTATTTTTTAAATTTAGAAAGACATAGAAAATCTAAGAGTCACGTACGGAAGATCATGGATAAAGACGGCAAAGAAATAATTGACTCAAATAGTATTTTAGATAAATTAAGTCATTTTTATGGTGAAATCTATCAGAGCAAAAACGTACACTCTGAAAAGGAATGTTTAGATTTCATTAATCAAACAGAAACAACTAAAAAGCTAAATGACGAAGAGAGAAAGGCAACAGACGCCCCTTTATCAATAAACGAATGTTATGAAAGTTTGAAAAAAATGTCTAACGGTAAATCACCGGGGAACGACGGTCTCCCGAAAGAGTTTTATGTGACCTTTTGGAAAGAACTAGGTCAGGAGATGTTGGATAGCTTTAATTATAGTCTACAAAAAGGATTTCTATCTACCTCTCAACGSCAAGTGATTGTAACTCTGCTGGAGAAGCCAGATAAGGACGTTAGGTTTTTAGAAAACTGGCGTCCAATAAGCCTYATTAACGTTGATGTGAAGGTATGCAGCAAAGCACTAGCTGATAGATTACATGACTTGTTGCCAAAAYTAATCCATTCAAATCAAGCAGCTTTTGTGAAAGGAAGAAATATCGAAGAACCGTTAAGATACATTTCCGATCTATTTGAATACTCTGAAGAATATAACAGCTCACACATTTTATTTGCGGCAGACTTTCAAAAAGCCTTTGACTCGGTAGAGCATAATTTCATTTTTGCTACTTTGAAATCATTCGGTTTTGSAGAGGTTTTTATAAGGTGGATTAAAGTTCTGCTAACAGAYATCAAAAGCTGTATTCAAAACAATGGCAATGTTACAGATTTCTTTTCGTTAAGTAGAGGAACTAAGCAAGGAGACCCAATCTCCCCGTATTTGTTTATATYRGTAATTGAGGTTTTGGCAGAACGTATTCGTAGAAATTCTGAAATACATGGTATCAAACTGTCGAAGGGTAACACGTGTGAGACAAAAKTCACATTATTCGCGGATGACGCAACTTTTACCCTCCAAGATGTACATTCACTTAAAAAGTGTCTACAGATCTTAGAAAGCTTTGAAAATTTCTCGTCCTTAAAACTGAATTTAGAGAAGTCTGAAGTAGGGTGGATAGGACCTCCGAAAAGTACAGATCTTTTACCAGATGAAATAAAAAAGAAAATAGATCTCAGAAAGAGCGGTATCCGGATTCTGGGCATATATTTTTCGCATAATCAGGAATGGCTGAAAATTAATAATTATGAAAGAGTTTTTGAAAAATTCAGATCCACATTAAATANTGGATAGCGATAAATTATTTGAGAAGGTAGAAAAGATTCCAGTTTTTTATAAAGAAATATTTCAAGCATGGGCGGACGTTAGTAAAACAGACGTTTCAAATGAGGAGGAAATAAGCAGGCAGTCACCATGGTTTAATACTTTTATTAATCTTAATGTTGAAAATAACGTTATTAAGAGGTTGACATCAAAAGGTATAAACTCAATGGCTCAAGTCTGGACTGGACAAAAGCCAACATGGTAAAATGCAAAAGATATAGGTTGGGAAGATAGGGATTATATGCTGTCGCGAGGGCTCTTAGATACTATACCTAGAGAGTGGAAGGAAAAATTAAGAATGCAGAGCAAAATAGAATTAGAAAGAAGACAGACAGAACAAAAGCCGTTGCATATCGTYATTGCAAACGAAAAATGCCCTCTGGCAAAGGCGAGTTCCAAAAATATCTATTGGAGGTTGACCAAAACGAGAGTAGGAAAACCAACGGCACAAAAATATATAGAAAACAAGTTACAGAATTATGATATTGAATGGGCTTCTGTTTATTCAAGAATTTATGAAAGTACGATAGACACAAAGCTAAGAGCGTTTCAATATACGATTATACATAATTGTCTCTATCTAAATCAAAAACTCTATCGTTTCAAGTTAGTTGCGACTCCAACCTGYAGTCTATGTTCAGGCAATAGCATAGAAACAATGCAGCATTTTTTTACAGAATGTCCAGTGACAAGACATTTTTACTTAGAGTGCCGGGAGTGGTTAAAAGAATCATCAAGTGGCTTTCCTGCTTTGACTCTTGAAAATGTCTTTCTAGGTCATAGTGAAAGTACGTTTGTAAACTATCTGTTTGTGCTGTGGAAGTATGTACTGTACAGGTGTAAATGTCAGCAAAAAGTCCCATGTTTAAATGATTTTAAACTGTTAGTTAAAGATTATGAAAGACTAGAGTACAGCATAGCCAAAAAAAGAAATAAGGTAGGGATACATTTAAAAAAATATGAGAATTTTGAACATTTGTATATGGCACACTACCACGAATGTTTCTGAATTTTTTTCGATGTTTTTTTTGGCCCTTGAATATACTTAGTAAAAACCATACTGGTGCAGGTTTTTTTTTTTGTTTTGTTGTTTTTGTTTGATGTATGTGTTATTTTTTTTAATTTACTCTAGACAGCTGCATTTATGTGCTGCTGCCATTAATTGTAAATAATATGGATATATATATAAATTATTTGTTATTCGTTTGTAAAATCAATGTAGTATTCTTGTTCTAGACAGTAGCATATATTTGCTGCTGTCATTAATTGTAAATAAAAAAAAGTAATAAAAAAAAAAAAGTTAGTAGCATAACAGCTTGCTGTTGTTATGG